CCGGCCCCCTCGCCTGCCCAGCCAGCATCAACGAGACTGGGACCAACACCTGCCGCTGGTCCTGTGGGCGTACAGGACAGCTGTGCAGGAGTCCAGCCACTGCACACCAGCGACTTTAATGTTTGAGATCCGTACCCCGGTGGATTTAATGTTTGGGCCGCCTCCTGAGCCGGAGATTCCTGGTGGACCAGAGCTGGACTATTTTAAGCGGTTGAGGGAGCGCTTGGGCTCGGTCCACCAGTTGGCCAGAGAGGCTCTTGTGGACGCTGGGGCCCGCGACTTGAGGACACATGGACCTGTGCTGAGGCCTGGGGACAGAGTGTGGGTTTACTGCTCGCAGAGGAAGCGGGGACAGTCACCCAAGTTGGCCCAGCACTGGCAGGGCCCCGGCGAAGTTTTGGACCAGTTGTCAGATGTTGTCTTCCGGGTTTGTATGCCAGGGAGGGGCCGATGGGTAGTGTTGCATAAGGACAGACTGGCACCATACCACCCGCTGGCCCCCGCACCAGAGACAGAACCGGACCCAGAGGACAACCCCTCCGCTCCCGACGAGGTTAGTGACTCTGGTGGTACAGGGGAAGGGTCTGATGGCGTGGATGGGACCACCCGGCGACCAGGACGTGCACACCGGCCCCCCGCATATTTGAGTGACTTTGTGTTGGACTGATGAGGGTTGTGGGGGCACTAACCCTCTCGGGTGGGGGCTATGTGGCGACCCTGACCGGCCGCTGATGTTCGTGTGTTCTGTTGTGTGCAAATGGGTTTGACATTGTTGTTGAAAGCTGTTCATGTATTGGTTACCGCTGTTTTCTAGCAAAATGCCGCGCTGTTCTGGCCAATGTGGGATGGGGGGAGGAACAGGTGCGGGAGGGTATAAGAGGAATGACAGGTGGGCGTGTTGTTTTAGGTTCTGTTGGCGGGCGATGGTAAAGTTCGGGAAGAGACCTGTAATGTTCTGTTTTTGTTACTTTTTCCAGTGAGCACACAGTACTGTGTTTTACAACCCTTTCCTTTCGTGTTTTTGTACGCCTGAATAAAGCCAAGAGAGACTGTGTTCTCCTCATTGTCAGTCTAGGTGCCAGCACACAGCTGGATAGTAGTTGCACAGTTAGGTTAGGATCGGACCAGCTCTCCTCAACCCAGCCAGCGTCGTCACATTATTTTTTACATAACTATCTATTATAAATATAGGCCTATATTTAAGCTATTTTGAAAATCTTGACAGGAAGCTATGTAATGTATCCTGCCTTGATGTGATGTAGTTTCATACTGTGAACACTGAAGGGCAGTGAAAATACAACATTTGACCTGTCAAACTCCATCCGTCCTACTGTTTATCCTGTAGGCTAGAAGCTCACAGCCAGTGATCAGCAAGAACATGCTGGACAGGTCTCCACTCTATTACAGGGCTTACCTACATGTCAACTCTACAACAGTATTATTGCGAGTCCTGATTAATTGTAACTCTTAAGAATTATTTTTTTTTACCATGGACTAGATGCTTTTTACCAAAAACTATTAGTGATTTGTAGTTGTACTACTAACAATAATGCTGATTAATCCAGTTATTTAAGCAGTGTTGGAGCTCCTCACTGTGGAAACACTCAATTATAGATAAGACAGTTTTAGGCCTGTAAACTTACAGGCTGAGTTGGCTGGTTCCATGCCACCACTGAGAAATTTACTTTTGTCATCCTTTATTTTTTTTTATTTATTTTTTTTTTTTTCGGATGTGTTCTCACACCTGATCCAAGAGCGTCTTACAGTAGGCCCTACATGGGAACTGAGACTTAGAAGCATCATCATTACATTCGGCACTTTCAGGTTTTAAGTGTTACTCCAACCCTTAGTTATATTTTTTTACTTTCTATTGTTCCGTTTCAGTTGTATACAATGTTGAAAATGTGCTTATTATACAGAAGTTTAAGTGTTACATAACTATTACTCGTGGTATACTCGCTTTGGTCATTTTCATTACTTAAACCCACCCCGTGTTTACTGTTGTGGTGATGCATGAAGAGATTACACATGCAAAGAACTGACAAATGAGAATGACAGAAGCAGTAGATTGACATTGGGTTTGGCTAATAGAATCACTGGGGACATTGTGTTTATACCAGCCCCCTTTTCCGTACAAGACGACTGTTTTGGTGAGTTAAGGAAAGTTCATTGAAAATCATTTATAGGTTTTAAATTGTTGAAAGTGATGATGATTGAGCCGTTTGAGTGATTTTTCCTTAAACTTAGCACACCTGTAATAAAGAAAAGCTGACAGCATTTGTTTTTCTTCGTAAATTTAGTTTCGCTACTCGCCTCGCAAAGCTTCATTGTTGACGTTAGTTGTTTTGTTGGAACTACCTTTGCGCACTCCGTTCGAGTGTATCTAATTTAATCTTCACAACCCGAGTCCCATTAATATAGTTAAATTGTCCGTTAAAATGCAGACAATAAAGCGTCCACTCGTTTTCGAAGGCGTAACAGCACTTTTCGTGACCACAATTAACAGTTTCATCTTAAGTTTTACTAAGTTTAACTACGTTGACATCCGAGGGGTTCAGTAGTAGTAACGGTAAGTTTATTCTGGACGGAACTTTCGTGCTTATTACTCATTTCGAATTGCTTGCTTCAAATGTGTTAAATGTGTTATTGCTGCCCTTTCAGTATAGAATGAATGGGCAATATATGCGCATGCGCGCGAGATCTCAGCGTTTATAAACAAGAGAAGTCACATGACGAGACTATTTTGAAATTGGTTAAACTACCACAGTTTATCATGTTGTTAACACACTGTTTCATCGTAGTGTATACAGTTATATCTACATCTCTACATTATCGTGTACTGTTGAATAATCTGGAGCTCTAATCACGAGTCTAAACTTAGATGTGTTGGGTAATGACCATCCCAGACATACCCTGGGACTACCTACATACGGGCTATGTCACCACTAGCATAGCATAAACATTACAGCACCATGAAGGATAATGTTCCTCTGTGTGTGTGTGTGTGTGTGTGTGTGTGTCTGCCAGTGAGTGCCTGACCCAAGGGGATTTTGGAATACTGATGGCAATAGTTTGATGTATTAACACTACCTGTAGGTTATACAGTCTGAAATCTTTAAACTTGAACTTGACCGATTGCATTAAAGGTTTTATGCAAAACAAAGCGAAATATGAAATTCAACTCTCTTCATGTTTTAGTGGGTATGGACATTATGGTGTGGAGGTGGTGAACCCAGCTGTGCTGCCCAGTAACCCCTAACAGTACAAGGTCTGGGAGCCCAAGCCTCAGGCTGAACACACAGGTAACCACAGAGCAATGGACTGCAGTGTTAACCTGCACTACCCTGTGGCATCTCTTGGTTTAGACGCTCCCTGAAATGTTGACATACTCTATGAATACACGGGTCTCTTCAACTCCACTTTGTAACACAAGCTTTCCATAAGAAATGTGTAGCTGAAGCTTAGGCCAAAATGACCATCATATGACACATAATTAGAGGTATGTTTTAGAAGCTCCTCCAGAAATTTTACACAAAGGAGTAAACTCAATCTTAATGAGTAAAACTAGTGGAGTATCCATTTAACTACCAAGCAACTGCCAGAGTAGTCTTTGAAATTAGTTGTGAGACTTATAATATTGATTTTTTAAAATGATTAATAATTAGTATCACTTTGCTAACACTATTATATGAATAATAATAATGAAAGACCAATAGGAAAAGATTCAGAAAACAAATATTTGGAAAATATGCTAACATTATCTGAGCTGTAGTGTGTTTTGGGAAGAGGTTTATGTTTTCGTTTCTGTTATTCTATTCACAAACATGCCTTACTATTACGTTACTATACGGGTTGCAAGGGAGAGCAGACGTTTACTGCTCCTGTCTGTTCTACGATTTTTCACATCTTCAAGTCTTTGAACAAATTCTACAACTATTAAAATGCCTCCAAGAGGAAAAAGAGCTAATAAATCAGAAGCTAACGAGGATGTTGAAGCAGAAGAGAATTATATTTCAGCGGCGCAAGTAACAGAGATGTTGAGTCAGCAGAAGCAGATGTACACCGCACTGTTGAGCCAACAACAAGACAACTTCAAAGGTTTTGTGCAACTACTTATGGAGACAAATAACAAGAGACTCGACGACATGACCAGAGAAATACAGGAGATAAAAACGAGTTTGCAGTTTACCCAGCGA